CCCTCCCTCCGTCCCTCCTCCCCCGCTCCCTCCCTCCCTTTATTTCTCTACCCCATTTGTTCCCTTCCTTTCAGACACACTTGTTCTTCCTTGTTCTTCCTGAACATTTGTTTTCTTTTTATCCTCTGGGTTATCACCTGCTTCTAAGACTTTTGCAAGATGAAATGAGTTCTAGCATCCCAGGGCCTTCACTGGGGATGGTGGTTATAATGACTAATGGGCGTCTCTGAGCCTCAGCCCTACTGTCTGTCACCGAAGGCTATAGACCACGTGGTCTCTGCAGCTCTCCAGATCACAGGTCTGATTCCTCACTACTTCCTAAGCAGTACATTCTTCAGTGTCTTATTCCCCCTGTAACTCCATCCCTGCCCCTTCCAAGCAAGTGGAGTAAGGCTGGGGTACTTAGAAGACACCCTGAGGGACACTGGCTGTGCTTTGCTGGCAACAAACATAGAGAGACTCAAGGTGAAGAAAGATGGGGATTCTAAAGCTGAAAGTGCTAATGGCTGGAGGGAGAACATGAATCATAAAGCTGGGGAGAGAGCTGACCTTTCCAGGCTGCAGCTGAGCACAGCAGCCTTTAAGGGCACCAGATAGTACTGAACACTCTGGCTGCCTGCAAATTCCCTTTCTGGCCTGCAGGACTATTTTCAGCCCAGGAGTCAGGTTTCATTAGTGTCACCAAGAATTCCTTCGGATTTCCTTATGACTGTTCAAAGAAATCAACATTGCACAGGAAGGCAGGGCCATACAATGGACCCCATGAGTCAGCTTCAGGGCCAGAAAACCAGGCTCCTTCCTACCCCAGCTCTCCCACTTACCTGCCCTGTGAATCTGGCAGGTGAATCAGCCTTTGTAACTCCTTTTTTTCAAATACACACACTTGAGAATAAAAGTGCCTATGTCTTAGGACTGCTTTGAAGACGACATGGCAGATTGGTACTAGTATGTGTTCACAATATCCAGGCAAGGTTTGTGTGACTTGAAGTGAGTGTGACTGCATCAAAAATTAAACATTTAACCGATAGGAGAAAGCAGTGTGGTATGATGATTACATGGGTGGCTACCGACTGCTTTCAATTCCTTCTTTTACCATGTACTAGTTGTTAGCCTTGGGAAGATTCTTACCTCCTCTGTGTCTTATGTTTTGCCTGTGAATAATATAATAATTCCTATAGTGGTGAAGCTGAAAAGGATATATTTGTGCAGAATAGTATTGTGTATTTATGCAGAATTGTAGCAGTTGTAACAAAGACGCTGTATATAATTCCCAGTTTTCTCTCTATCTCATGTTATAAGGAAATGTAATCAGTGTTTCAACTTTGTTGAAATTTCATGGCTTTCTCTTCATGATTAAAATAGTTGATGGTATAGTTTCAAGAACAGGACCTCACAGAACACAGCCTAAATTAGGAAAGAATGGCTGTCTCTCCAAGGTGCTAGTCCGCTACTTTGCGGCTCTCCGGAAATCCTGTATATTCCCTCATTTCTCCTTGTGCAGGACTGTGTCACTCCCAAATGTGAACGAGGTTCTATGATACAGACCAATTGTCATTTGCCCTCTGAGATTGGGCGTATTGTTTTACAGATCAAATCAAAATAGTATTAGCAAAGGAAAGGAGGAGGGCTTACATCTTAAGAAGTCACGATGCTGAAAATGTTTTAGAAATGATGACGTGGGACTCAAATTGCTCTTGTGATGTAGTTCTGACCACATGGTCTGGAGAGGTCATGTCTGGACCGTAGTGCCCTGGGCCCCAGTTGTTTTGTTAATTTCCACATAATATTTTTTTGTTTACTAAAAGAACCATAGAGACATAGTATATTATTTGGGGGTTAGGGCAACATAGACCTCTGTCTTAAAAGGTAAATGTGGTGGTCCAAAAGGGAAATAGGAAACTGGAGAGATGGCTCAGCAGTTAAGAGCACTGCTCTTTCCAGAGGACCCGGGTTCAGTTTCTAATACCCACATGGCAGCTAACAACTGTCTGTAACTCCAGTTCCAGGGAATCCGATGCCCTCTTCTGACCTCTGTGGGCATTGCACAACA